CTTTCTCTTTGTAAATTTGTTTTGAAACCAGCTGTTATTCTAATATCTGATCTGTTGTAACAATGTCTGTTGAACCAAGGTAAATGAGTGCTCAAAATTTGAACAGTAAATTAGACACAGACATTTACTGTATTTCAAATTATATTTCACTTAATTTTCCAGTCTGCTTTTAATGCAAGAACAAGGCCATCCCAGTCTTTCTGCTGAAACTGAAATGTCAATTTTGATCAAGTTGCTATGTTATGATGCACTAATTTTTCAGCAGCACTGCAAACCGTAGTTAATTGAAAAAGGTGAGTTACTCGGCAGAGTTTGGTACAGCTAGAACAGGTAGAACATACACCAGCATCTCTGCAATATCATAGCTGATTGAGATATTGTTGTACATAGCTAAATGTTAAGCTTCTACCCCAATTTTAAGGAGAACTACCAGGGGAGTAGTCAAAGGGTCTCCCACTCATCTTTCCCTATCCCAAACCTCTTGAGATGACTTTTGGCTTTGTGTGTATTGAGGTTCCCCTACTTTTACAAACATCCATGCTTTCTTCCAGGATTCAAATCCAAGCTCATTGATAATTGTTGAGTTGTACCAAATTCACTCATTCAAAAGGCTCATTGATAATCCTTACTCTCGAGAACATATAAAGAATGTAGAGTATTGCAATTCAGTAAAATTGATCAAATATATTTGCAAATATGTCAACAAAGGAAGTGATATGGCAGTTTTTCGCCTAGTAAATGCAGTTGAATCTATTAATGAAATTGACCAATACCAAATGAAGTAGCGATGAAACAGTATGGCATATTTTATTATCTCAAATCCATGATCATTATTCAACAATTGTTTATTTGGCAGTGCACCTTGAAAATGGACAGGGTGTGTACTTCATAGCGCCAAATGCACATGTAAGAGCATTGAAGATAGTGAATAATCCACCATCTTCAATGCTCAAATTCACCAAACTGACAACACAGCAGCAACACTGACATTTTTCTCATTATGTGAGGATGATATATTTGCAAAGATGCTACTTTAGTTTGAAGTGCCAAAATACTACACATGTAATGTAACAAGGGAAAAATTTCAGCGTCACAAACAAGAGTCAGTTACAGGAGATTCCAATTTATATTCGACCCATGTGTTAGGCCATCTGTACACTGTTCACCCAAACAATTCACCAAACAACCTGCGAATACCATTAATCAACAAACATGGACAAACATCCTTCCAAGAACTGAGAAGAGTAAACAGTCAAGTATGTGAATCTTTCCAAGAATTAAATCTTCTTGAAAATGATGCACATTGGGACACTTCATTAGCTCATAAGCTATAATTTTAAATGGAAAATTTAAAGGAAAAGATTTATTGTTGGCAAATATCCCAATGATTCATACAGATACGCCATTTAATTTAAATGTTTGCAGTTTTTGTTGCAAATGACCATCAGCAAAGCACAAGACAATTGCTACAAGTGTGTGGACTAAATAGCGAAAATCCATGCCTTTTCACATGGACAGTGGTATGTGGCCTGCTTATGCATTGGAAAGCCTTCTGGTTTATTTGTGTACGTACCAGATTGAGGGGGGGGGAATTTGTGCATCCAAAAGCACTTATAATAATAGTGCCTTATATGTAGTCTTAATAGAATTAAACACTTTCTTTCTTTTTAAGTAGCACTGCAACACATGCTGGGTAACAACTTGTATGCATATAAATAGAGACAGATAGAAATCTGCTCATTTAAAAAAATGTAATAATAAATAAATTTAAAATAGTAATATATAAAAATATAATGATATTTAGCAGTGCATTGCTATTATGAAATTTAGCAAAAGTCAAAATGTCACTTAAAAGGCCAAAACCACTTGCGCTAAAAAGATGTGCCACGCACGTCGAGATGCTTTTGTCTCGAACTGTGCAAAAAAATGAAAATAACGTGGTGCATACATAGCCTAACAACGAGATTGTTTATTTCTTGAGTTACAGCTCTGGATTGCACTCGCAGACGCGAAGCAGCATAAATGAGACACTTTACCGCTTGTTATATTGTCGCGCACGGCATCGCAACCGTGATGTTTAGTCGTAGCGCAAGTGGTTAATTCTTGGAATAAAAATATTAAGTGATAAATAAATAGATTCATGTAAAATTTTAAACTGCTTTGTTTTTATTTTCATGCTTAAGTTTCATTCAATTATGTTTCATTTATTAGTTAAGGCTGCAAATAAAAATATTAAGCGATAAATAAATAGATTCATGTAAAATTTTAAACTGCTTTGTTTTTTTCATGCTTAAGTTTCATTTATTAGTTAAGGCTGCAAAGAACCATCACACTTTTCCATGTATGCTCTCATCACTTCAATGGTCAGCATATAAAGCTAGTCACTGTAAGCTCTGTAGGTCAAATCTCAGCAGGGGCATAACCCAATTTTCACAATGCCTGGCTTTAAAAAAAAAAAAAAAAAAAAGAGCTCTACGATGGCACTTGAACTAAAATGAGTTGGGTGATTTACCATCCAGACTTGGCTGACTGGATTTTGTGCCCCTGCTTAGTTTCCTTTTACATGAGAGAGAACATAAGGAATTATTGCATTCTTCTGTGTGCTGCTATATTGTAAGTGGCCTTGGTTCGAATAATGGCAAGTGCACAACTGATTTTTCATGTTACCTGGTTTTGAAAAACCTAATGATTTAGATGGCAACATATTTATTTGTTTACAATTAATTAGTGTTTGTGAACACTTTTACTACAGTTCATGCAAGAATGTACACATTCCTTTTTTTGTGAATAAAAATACTTAATAAATTAAAAAAAACAAAGATGAAATTTTAGGTTTCAGAAATGAGGCCAGAATTCAGAGAAATCCTGAAAGTCACGCTATTGTAAGACAGTGCTTCAAACCAAAGCTTTGCATTTTCATATGATCTACTGTCTGTTTTATTTTAATCATAAAGTTGGATTTCATGTGACATTCAATATATTGATTACATCTGAACTATACAATCAAATATACATACTGCAAATGATGTATAATGAAGAAACTGATCAAAATAAGCCATAATTCAATAAAAATACCAGTCTGAAAAATTCAAAACCCAAAGCTTGTGTACCAAAAACAAATCAACTTTAACAACAGCTTGCTTTCAAGTAACATGTTGACAGCGGCGTGGATATTCATTTTGAATTAGCAGTCCTTTTCGTGAGCTTTGAAAACAGGCCACAAATAAAGCAAAGACAGTAACAACATATTGCGATAATTGTAAGGGCAAGCTGGCACTTTGTTTAGCCTGCTTTTAAAAAATTAATAATTATATTTCATTTATAAGTTACATTTTAAGCTATTTGTTTTGTATTGAATGTTTAATTATAATGTTGAAATGTTAATGTATACTGTTGAAGAATTAAAATAAAATTAAATTTTGTACTACGTACTTACAAGCATGACCCATCGGTGAGTCATGCCAGCCTGCACAACAATCAAGCATAATCCAACGATGGGCCATGCTGCCCCACAGAACAGACAAGTATGACCCACCAGTGGGTTAGGCCGTTGTCAACGTGTTAAACAGATAACAACTAGCCAATGAGCAATCACTAAAATCATTAATCACAATTAAAGTGTAAATAAACATTTTGATAATTTTACTTAATATACATTACAAATTTGGTGAAACTCCAAAGAAATAGTTTTCATTAAGCAGTGAAATTATTTGCATCAATTAAAATATTAATAACTAACTATATCTGATATGAAGCACTGTTTTCAAACTTTCTGAAACAATAAAATACTGCTCAAGTTTCCAGAAAGTCCATTTATGTTGATAAAAATATATATATATATATTATTCTGGATTATCTACAGGACTTGAGCAGCTAATCTTAAATGCTATTTTTTGAATACACAAAATAGGTTAAGCATGCATATTTTAAAACTAATCTGAAGTTCAAGACTTTTACCTCACAGAAGGTAAAACAAAAATAAAACATACTAAAAGATTTCTTCTTTCTTAATTTCAGCCAATGAGAGTTTCTTAGTAGTCTTTTTCGAATTCCTGCCATTACTAATGTATATTTGTTTAAAAACATATTTGTTCATGGTACATAAACGATATTTATTATCTTATGCTAATAACTAGCATCTCTATTAGTTCTCAATGTGCAAATGAATAAAAAACTGAAAGTGTAAAAACGTCATTAAGCCCTTAATACATTATGTTAAGCATATTCAGACAATTTTTATAGAAAAATAAAACCTTAAGTATATTCAGGCATTATCACTGTTGAAGTGTACAAATTTCAAATTAGATGAAAATTAAAAATAAAATAAAATATAAACCAATAAAAACCAAATATAAACCAATTTTTGAGGAACTGTCAAAAATAAAATTAATAACTTTGGAAGAGCCCCTGAGGACCACCTCAGGACCTATTTAGAAAAGTACATACTGACCTTTATCATCCTAAACCATAGAGCCCTAAACAGCCATACAGCCCAAAACAAGGAATTCGGGATTTTTTTAAAGTTTTGTCCAGTAATATGTTCAGATCTTATCTGCAGAGAATTCTTATGTCTCGATTGTATATTTTCGCTTGGAGGAAACAATTCTCATGATGTTTCACACTGGTAGGAATATATCTGCTTGAGATACTTAAGACTCAATTTAGCCAAATTATCCATTACTCATTCCCAAAAATATTGCACTAGTTTGGAATCCACTGAACAACAAACTTTCTTTAGACAGCTTACGATAATTTAATACAACAAACTTCCTTTAGACAGCTTACGATAATTTAATTTTAATTTGTCTGTTTTATGAATGACATAATGCACTCAGCACATCAGTAAGAATTATATGATAAATTCACAGTACGGAAGAAATTCTACTAAAATGTACATGTTAATTTATTAAGGATCCTGGCAAGTCTGCAAGTAATATTTTAAAACTATTACTAATTAAAAAATATCAGACCATTATAAAAAAATCACATTTCATTTATACCTGCATGTGCATTTCATTACTGTCAGCAGCTTCAGGACTTTCAAGAATATCTTCTTCAGATACATGGACATATTCAGATTCAGTATCATCAGAATCACTTTCATCAATTGGAAGTAAATCCCTGGAAATTGACATTTCTATAGATTCAACTAAACTTTCCTCCTCTAATGGACTACACCTAAGAATATAAGATGAATATCATTATTTAATTAAAAAAAAAAAAATCTTCTTCTGAATTCTCTCTCTCTCTATATATAATCCTAATGTATGCAATCCAGAATTTCAAACTTTTTTTAATTCATTAAAAATACTATATTATTCTAGCTTATACAAAAATATTATATGATAAGTACTATTTTAAATAGAATGTCCTGATTTCTAGTCCCAGAATGCATTTAAATTCAAGTTTATTATATATCCAGCACAGCCCAAAAATTCAAGTTTAAAAATTTTAACAAACAATCTCTTTTTTGCAGCTAGAAGTTAACTTGACCTGCTTCAACAATCAACTAATGCATACTTTTAAAAGCTGTGTGAATAAGTGCATTACTGTGGTCCGTTTCCAAAGGCCAGATTCTAAATCTCATTTTGAACCATTCCTCAAGAACTGTGGGAAAACAAACACTTGCACACTGTTTTTCTGCATATATCCTTTTGGCTTCAACTTCAAGATTGAACACTGCCCAATTTTAGAATTTAAAAAAAAGAGGGGTCATTGTTTTGTTTCTCTTTCTTGTTTCTATTGGTGATGTTTTACAAATGATTATTGAGAACAGTCAATAATCATTCTGTACGAATTAATGATGACAACAGTCAATAATTATTTGTTCCATCAGTGGCTGAGTGGTAAAAGCCGTTGAAATTTGTAGTTCTGTCCAGGTTTGTGTCCCTGTGAATGGACTGGCTGCATGAGTGCTTTGATGTTTGGGCCCACCAGTGGCCAAACGGTAAAAGTCACTGAACACTATTAGATTGGTTCGGGGATCGAATCCCGGTGGATAAGCTGGATGCATGGGCATTTTCATGATTTTAGCCATGTGTAACATGTATACAAGCCAGTTTCCCTTAGAAAGTTCTCCATCAAGGCAACCCTTTCTTTAGGCATATAGCCTTCGAGTGGTTTGCCATAATTAAATAAAATCAAAAACCAATAATTATTGATTACTATTTCACCAGTGGTTTACACATTATGTAATCACATTTCATTATCTTAAATCATGTCTAAAATATCGTTTTCCTGCATATACATATATGTGTGTGTATAAGTATAATAGATTGATGATGGTTTATTGTATTGTAATAACTTGGCAATTGTAGGTGGCATTACTAGATGCATAAGGTGGATGAACCTTGCAGACATGGGCGAATTCAATTGCTTCCATTTTATTTATGGTTGACGCACATTTCCTTAATCCAACAAAAATAAAATGAGCACTATATGCACTTCATAATTTCTGGAAGCTAATATATCTTAAGACATACAAGCAACGTATTAGCAGCAGCTAAGCATGCAAGAAAAGAGACACATTCAGTGATTGGATAAAATGTGTCTGCACTGCAGCATTATGCAAGATATCATAATGTAGATTAATCTTGAAATCACATAGTTTAGATTAATATACTATAAATAGTTATAATTTTTAGGACAGAAAAGAGAAATACCCAAATTAAAATGAATAAGAGGGACTATTGCCAATTAAAATTATAAGCTTTCATATTTTTACCTTATACACACACACACACACACACACATATATTTGCCCCAGTTCACCGCTCTTTCTCTGCTCACCAAAAGGAAAAGGGGGCACACAACATAGAAAACTGCTTTCTAAAAGCAAAGTGATCATGAAGAAGAGTTGACCAAGGTATCTTCAATGTGAGCACAGGTGATAAGATGTTCAAAACTTTTTACAGAAGTAAAATCTTTTATTGTGATTGAGATGGATTAATGGCTTTCATCTGATACCATCTTCCAGCGGATTATCTGAGTTAAAGCATATATACTATCTAAATACTGTAGCACAGGAAAAGGTTTTTATCTTTAATTAAATCTTTAAACCTAAAAATCTTTTCCATTCAGCAATACAGTGGAATCTCTCTTAACTGGCAGCAATGTAACTTCCAGCGATTCTGGACAATGAAAATCTGTTGTCAGATTTTTCCAAGTAATTAATATACATTTCCAAATTTTGCGATGCCAACTGTAGAAACTGCTATTGCAATATCTGCTGATCATACTTTTTCGATCTATTGGTCATGGTTAAGTAAGTAATAGGAAAAAAAAAAAATCATAGAGATGATTTAAAATTAAAACATACATACTTTAATTTTGGAAAAAAAATAAACAATATTTTAAAGTCACCTTATATAAAAGTTAGAAATTTTTTAATGTGACGACATATAACCTTGAATATCTGCCTGCCAATGAGATTGTCTCTGAAGTTTTATAAATTTGCTGTATATACAATTAAATCACATATTGATCCAGATGATCATTGTTAGGCAAACTTTATAAAGTAACTCTCGTACCCTGCATGTCATGTTCATCTTCATCCTATCCCAGTACAAGTCCAATTATTTTCTTGACATCTTAAACGAGTGTGACAGGAAAAGAACTGTCTACACCCCCTCAAGCTTGCACCTCCTATTTATTAACAAACCTTCTCTAACCTATTTACTAATGTTCATGTAACTAAGATGTTCAAGATGTTGGGTACGGCCCTGGATGGATTTTAAAACCAGGAAAATCTTTGTCACTTTGTTATGCTGCGTGACTCATAATCTATGAAGATGATCATAGCTTAGGTAAATCATCTAATTAGTATCTTTTTTTGGCACTAGATGTAGCCCTATGTCTATTATGGCAAAATTTATTGAAAATGCTGACCTTCATTCGGTTGCAATATTTTTTATTTTTGGTATTTTGTTTGGGAATCAAAGCGAAAATCATGGGTTGAGTAATGTAAATTAATAGAGCTGGCTTTCAACTGCATCAGCTGATATAAACACATGGAGAAGTTCTCATGCTTCTAAACACTTTTGTTTTTATTTTGGCATTACTAGATATATGTCTTATCATTTTAGAGGTTTTATTCATTCCTCTTACAGTCTGGCTCGCATTGAGGAAAATATTTTGTATATTGTTTAATGAAACATTTTTTATATTTCAAATGGCAAGAAAAATATAATGATAAAGGTTTTCAACTTAATTCTGGCAATTACATGAGCATTCCTCTCATATGTGCCAAAAATTAGGATAGTTGCACCACATATTTAATTTATGACAATTTTTTTCAAAAGTTACGCTTAGCAGCATTAAGTGCATCCTATCAGCATGCTATCCCAAAAGAGTGATTCACTTAACCCCTTTGCGCCGACTGTCACGTCTACGTGCCAGCAACGAACACACTCACTTCCCGGCCGACACGCAGGCGTGCCAGAGCGTTTTCCCGTTTAGCCCCGACTGTCACGTATTTGCGCCAGTGTCCTGGAACGTTTTAAAAACTATAATTTCTGTCACAAGATGGCACTGTATGTCCATATGGTTTCAGATACATGTACATTAGACATTCTACTCGAAATGAGAGAAGCATGACTCACATACACGTGTTTTTGATTATATAAACAAAAGGGGAAATAAATGTTTCCGAATGACGTGACTTATGACGTCTCTTTATATTCGCACGTGGTAGTTGTTTATTGTAAGTAGAGAAGTTTTATTTTCGCTAAAGCGTTGGGTATTTCGGTTTGCAGTTCAGTTTTTAGAAAATAATTAGATCTTGTTAGACGTGAATTCTTTCTGTTTTTACCGTTGCAATGCCAAAGCGTCGAAAATGTTTAACAGAGCATGAAATAGCAGAAATGATGCAAAATATTTCAGATATTGATTCTGAAACAGATTCTGATAGTAGTGATAGTGATACTATGATATATTCTGATCATAAAGAATCTGGCGAATCTAATGATGATGAGGACATTTCGGACATCTGTATGCCGAGTACGTCGGCATACAGATGTCCAAAATGTCCTCATCATCATTAATCCTTAATTAATTAATGTCCTAATCATCAATGTCGTTATTACAAGTGCAAAGAATGTAATGTAGGACTGTGTGTAGATCCCTGTTTTCAAATTTTTCATATGAAAAGAGAATTTTAAGTAATATATTTAGTTTTCAGATGTATAATGTTAAAAGTCATAAAATGGTGAGTAATGAAAATAAAATGTGTAAAATATGAATTTAAACAACAAATAAGGTAATTAAAGTATAAATAAAAATATCTATAAAGAATAAGCCGTTTAAATACTCTATAGAGCATTATTAAACAATGCGTTGATACTTCGGAAATTTCATGGATTTAGGCTTAATAGCAAAAAAGTCCCCGGTCCTGGACAGACGCTCGCATAAGACGCTGCCGGCCTACGCGATAAGCGTGCGTTTGCGCTACCCGGCGCAAAGGGGTTAACTGAAGTGCTTGTCCCAAAAGGGTTAAAAAAATCACGCATTGGGACATAAAAAGGGATCAGTAGTTAATTTACTATATTCTGGATAACTGATTGGTTAAGACTTGTTACTGGCAGAAACATAAATGTTTACCATATTTAAGTCTTCTGACTGTTAGCTTATTACATACTTTTTATTGCCTAAATTTTGAATTTAAATTTAGACCTTCAGTGCTATTATTTTGACATTGAAAGTTACAAAGGATTTTAGTATATAACATTCTTGTGCATATGAGTGTTACGGAATCTATGTCCTTGATATATCTCTAGTAGCTAGTAAAAATATTTTTGAATCATGAAGTTACAACATAAGGGATAATGTTATTTAAAGTGTAAATTTGAAAGAACAATTCATATTAAATATTTAACTCTCATAATACTGAATATCTCAATAAGCGTTTAACCTACATGTAGCGACATTACCATGGGAAATGCTTTTCATCATATATATATTAACTACATAATTTTATATCTCAAATATGCACTGCATTATTAATTGCATGTGTGCTGAAAATTCCCCATAATTATATCTTTGATAATATAAATTTAAACAAATTTATATTTAATTTTTAACAAACATGTATAAAAGTAAAAAAGCAAATTTAAATCCTAAAAAAAGGAAAAAAGCCAAAAATTTTTAAAAAAAATGTGCAAAACATATAAAAGATTTAATTCTCGAACTAATCTACAATATCATTTAAATTCAGAAGCATAAGCAAATCAAGTGCAAAATCAATCCATGAAAATAAATTCACTAATTTAGTAATTAAAATTAATTTTAAACAATTTTTAAAAACAATGCCATAAGTGAATGACCGTTGAGTAGGCAGGAGACAGACTTATCAAGGGGAAGTTGCCTCCAAACCTAACTCTCCAATCATTCAATTCGTGTTTCGTCATTCATGCAGGCAAGGGTAAAAGTCAAAACAAAAAGTAATACCAATAAAGTGGTACCCTTAGAAATTAACATTTAAGAATTAATAATTAAGAATTAAAGTTCTGAAAATAAAATACTAATGAAGTCTTTTGAGAAACAAGTAAAGTCAAGAATTAAACTTTTTTCAAAAAATTAATAAAAAATTAATTTTCTAAAAAAATAAGAAGAAACCAATGTATTTTAGAAACCCTTGTCTACAGAAACCTCCCGGACACGAATATGCATATCAATAAAAAGAAACTAAAAAAAGAACTAGACATAATCCATATAAACCAATAAGAAACAAAAAGAACTAATTCACAATTTTTTAAAAAACAATATATATTTAAAATATATTTCATATTTAGAAAATACTTAATACTACATACTACATAAAAAATTTTTAAAATACTAAATATAAGTAAATAGTAAGTTTTATTCTAACTTACCTACTATATGAAGTTTTAAATAAAATGAATTAAAGCTATTTGCTCATACTTTTAGATACATAGATGATATTATAACTTTCAATAATAATTCTACCTTTGAGCAATTCAAAATTTACCCAAATAGTTTAACACTTAATAAAACGAATACGAATCAAGATACTATTGAATTCCTAGACCTGCAAATTATTAAACACAGCAAAATTAAATTATTTGATAAAAGAAGGAATTTCCATTTTCATACTATTAAACTAATTAATTGGAACTCTTAATATTTCTAGAAAAGTAATAGAAAACACGTTTCATAGCCAAATTATCAGAATAAAAAATATATGTACTGAAATAGACGATTTAAAGGAAGAAATAATAAAGCTAATTAATGTTCAAGTTGATAACCAAGTACCACCAAAATTTATTAATTTATATATTAAAAAGGCAGGACTTCACTTTACTTTATAATTTTTTGGCTCTTTTTGATATGATACCATTACCTTAAAACCTTAGCTGGAGGGTAATTAAGGATATAAAAGAGTAGAGAAATTATCTTGTAAATTTTTTTGTAAATATTTTGTAAATATGTATATTTAATCAATACTGGATTCTTTCCTTTTACTAATAAAGGGCCAACTCTTTTCAAAAGTCTCAATTATAGCCCGAATTGAGTGAAGATTTTAATCTTCTTCTTCTAATTTTCCATACTTTAGCCAGTATTTAGTTAAATTTTGATATACCAATTGAAATCAAGTTCATTAAACATTTAATATTTTCTTTCATTAAGTATAACTTTTAATTAACTTCCAAAAGGAATTTTTTAGAAATTTCTGGGATTTTTTTTTAAGGGACTTTATTCCAAAAAAATTTTGGGAAATTTTACTTTAAAACTTTAATTTTAACACATTTCAGTTTTTCTTAATTACTTTAATTATTTGTAATTTTCACAAAAAATTTTTCACTTAACGTTTTTTACAATTTTTACACAATTTTTCAACAGAACACACATTTCACATTTCAAACAGTTTACATTTTTTATTCACAATACCACTTTATTTTTCTTCAAGCAAACTTACATCCATTGATTGGCTCAGTTACTTAACTCCCTAAATAACTGATAATTACTACCTTTAGGATTTTTAATTTTTAATATTAATGTTTACAAAAAAATTTTTACTATAATAAAGATAGCAGCTTAACACTCAACTTTACCTACATAAGTGCCATCTATATAATTTGAAGAACACACTTACTTCTCTTTAACAACACTTTTGCAGACCCCAACACTCATATAGTAGGTAAGTTAGAATTAAAACTTACTATTTACTTACTATTTAGTATTTTTAAAAATTTTTTATGTAGTATTTAAGTATTTTCTAAATATGAAATTATATTTTTAAATATATATTTGTTTTTTAAAAAATTGTGAATTAGTTCTTTTTGTTTCTTATTGGTTTATATGGATTATGTCTAGTTCTTTTTTTAGTTTCTTTTTATTGATATGCATATTCGTGTAGGGGAGGTTTCTGTAGACAAGGGTTTCTAAAATACATTGGTTTCTTCTTATTTTTTTAGAAAAATTAATTTTTTATTAATTTTTTTGAAAAAAGTTTAATTCTTGACTTTACTTGTTTCTCAAAAGACTTCATTAGTATTTTCTTTTCAGAACTTTAATTCTTAATTATTAATTCTTAAATGTTAATTTCTAAGGGTACCACTTTATTGGTATTACTTTTGGTTTTGACTTTTACCCTTGCCTGCATGAATGACGAAACACGAATTGAATGATTGGAGAGTTAGGTTTGGAGGCAACTTCCCCTTGATAAGTCTGTCTCCTGCCTACTCAACGGTCATTCACTTATGCATTTTTTTAAAAAATTGTTTAATTTAATTTTAATTTACTAAATTAGTGAATTTATTTTCATGGATTTTGCACTTGATTTGCTTATGCTTCTGAATTTAAATGATATTGTAGATTAGTTCGAGAATTAAATCTTTTATATGTTTGCACATTTTTTTAAAAATTATTTTGGCTTTTTTCCTTTTTTTAGGATTTAAATTTGCTTTTTTACTTTTATACGTGTTTGTTAAAAATTAAATTTAAATTTGTTTAAATTTAAATTTCATTCCTTGCAGCAATGGCACAAAGAATATTTAATTAAATTTGTATTTAAATTTAATTTTTTTAATTAAATTCAATTTATTCTTATGAAACAATTTTGATAATATAAATATATATTTTATCATTAAAAATGCAGAGATGGCAATGGTTCACCATTTTCAAACAAAACTTTTCTGAAGTGGTTTCAGATGATTAAATAGGTACCACTAAAATGCAGTCGACTATTATGATACTTTTTAAACAAAACTTATTTTTGAAATTTACATATTCTACTTAACTACTATACATATACAACTTAAATATAATACACTATTACACATAATAATTTAGGCTCTATCTTACCTCTGTCTTTCCCTAGCTTCAGGATCAAAAATAAGCAAAAGGTTTGATATTGTCTGATGGGCGTTTATGTTTGAAATATCTACACCCTGTGCTAAACACAGATGAATTATGTTTGCATTTAGTTTAGCAACTTTATGCAGGAATTTCTTTTTTGAAGTAATATGTCCACAGAATTCACTGTAAAGAAAAATGAACTATTTATCTCAAGAAAATAAAATGCCAAAAATAAAAACAGCATTAATATATATGGCTCAAAAATATTTCAGTTAAATTAATAATTCAATCTTTACATATATATTATTACATATACTTAAGTTACTTTACATATATATCTTAATTGCAAAGATCTTATGTTTCATTAAATAAAATAATCTACAGATAAATTGTCAATGTTAAAAATCTGCTTTAAAATTATGCCTGAATTATTTAAATTGAGTATGACTGGATAACTAATTTTCATATTTAGAAAACTAAACATTACAAGTAAACATTTGATTCTAGAATACTGCATAATTTATTTTATGTTAATAAAAATTATAAGTAATTTTATTTTGATATTACACTACAGTTTTCAGCAACATGAGCAAGAAAAAATATAACCCAAATCAAGTGAAAAACACATCAACTGTAAGACGATATACAGATAGATGAAAGACAAGATAATTATGAGTTTGCTGTGTGGCTTTTGAAATGTTATTGCTTGTTGCTATGTTGAATACATTAATGCTTTTTTGGTTTCTCCTCCTCCATGTCCAGTTCAATTTACCTTGGGCTACCTACTATAATATTGCCTTACAGTTCATCTGTTCTTCATTTGCTTTGGGTTCAGTTTATCTTAGGCCATTAATCTGCACACAATGTTTTTGTTATTTCACCTTTTCTTAAAAAATCATAACTATTTGCTTGCATTTAGCTGAAAAAACAATTTTTCCCCCTTTAGATTTGCTAATTAGAAATAATACACTTAAAAATAAAAAAAGAATTTTGTCCAGTTCCAAAGATTAAACAGACTGAATAGAAGAAATACATCAGGAATAAGGGCAGAAGAGACCAGTTAGATATAACTAGAAGTCCTTGAGATCCAAGAACTTAATTAAAGAATTCTAAAGGAAGAGCAACTGATGATTTCAAAGACTTTCATTTAGGAAAGTCGCATATTTTCACACTTTTCATAACTTTTGCCATTATCTGACCCAACAAATATTAATCTGTATGAATAATCATTCAAATAACTATGTTTTAACAGAAATTTTTAATCTAATAAGTCAATAGCCATTCAAATGATGTTGAAATATTTATATATAGTCGGCACCATATATATAAATGCATTATAACACTGGTACCTCTTCAATCATGCAATCCCCCCCCAAAAAAAACTGTACAGACAAAATAAGGCACATGTCTCTTATACAGTCTTTGAGATTACACACAAAGGCCATCATATATATATGGCATGCAAATCACTTCAACCCACTTCACATTTTTCTATAATACAGTTTTTAAAAGGGTTTACCAACTTGATATTTTAATAATTAGTAAACTAAGTGAAACTCAGCAAAAGGCCAAACAAATTTAAATATATAAAAAAAAATAACTTTTTTATTCAGCTGACAAAAATAATTCATTGTAGGAAAATTGAATATAATGACAGCTTTCATGTAAATTACTTTAGCATGTTAAAACTGTAATTTATGCCACACAAAATTTCTTCAGGAAATGATTACATAAATGAAAATTCCAACTTCGAAGATTTTATCCCCTTCCTAAAAAAAGCACAGACATAATTATAGCTGAACAACAGTACTCTTCTATTTTCTAAGTGCAAATATTTTTACTTAAAGAAACACAAAATGCATGAAAAAACTTCACAATGGAAGCAACATACAACATTATAAATATTAAGAAAGTGCAGGAAAAGTATTTAAACGTTATGAAATTCTGGCAGTAAGAGAACACTCCCACTTAATGGTGTCAGCAAAGGGGGGGGGACCACACACACACACATTGGTATGCACTATTTAACATCAATATATAATACTTTTGATAATTTTTATAGACATATTTCTAGCATTTAAAATAATACAACTTTGTAAAAAATTACATGTTATTACCAATTAACCCTTTGGGTGCATTTGATGACTTCAACTTGTCATGCATTTGTTTTGACGAAGTTATGGATAATGAATTTTAATCGTCATTCAAACTAGGACAAAATTAAACATGTACAGTTTTGTTCATGGTGAAAGTGATTGGTATCAGTTATAAGAGTAAGTTTCTTCCAGTACTTCAGTGAAAATTTAACAGAAGAATTTTTTCAAATAAATTCATACCCTAAGGGTTAATCACTGGTTTTAAAATGCTATATTTTGTGAAATACTGCAAACAAAATGTACTACAAGAAATGCAAGCAAAAGTCTTCCAAAAGTTTAGTTAGAACATTATAAATATTCCACATATGTTCTTACTGTTACACATTACACAACACAAATTCAAGTAATACATTCTGCTTCTACTCGAATGTGCTACAATTTTTCTCTGCTGATGGTAACCAAAGCAGCTGTAATGTGATTTTGAAAGTTCCTCTGATGTTACTGACAGTGGAGAAAATCAAATTTTTTTTTAACATAACCCCAAAGGGAAAAGAAAAATCTGATGTAGACACTACATGATTTCTTTTACGGCCTACTACATTACATATATTTTTGCTATACTTCATTTAAACTTATTTCCTCAACTTAATTGACTTCTTGAAGGCAAGTCAAAAATGACATCAAATATTGGAAATTTGTTAAATTAAATATCCCGGTGCATTTTTGTCATAATGGGAGTCGCGTGGTTTTCCCCATGTGTAACGTGTATACGAGCCAGTTTCCCTTAGAAAGTTCTCCATGAAGGCATCCCTCCCCTTAGGCAGATAGCCCTAGTGTGCTTTGCCATAATTAAATTAAATGCATCATAATGGGAGTCAAACTTCTTATGATCTCATTTTTTCATAATGAGTATAAAACTTTCCCAAATATAAGTATAGGAAATTTATATTTCATTATTTGTCAAAATTTATTTTATTTTACTATATTTTTAAAATTAGATGTTGCAAAACATGAATATTTTTATCATTTGAAACACTTTTGTAACTAGATGTATATGACTAATGATTGTAAAAATAAAAGTTGGGTAAGCCTTTTTGAGCCGGGTAAGGCTCTGGGTGTGTATGCACATATATACGTACATCAGTTCTGCTGATTGCAATAAAAATGGGAGGTGCGCAACTAGATGTTTTAGCAATCCCATATACAAAGTTTTTATGTTCTACACTTAATCATTTTTGAATTATGTGACATACATACATCATGGAATCCACTTTAAATACATTTTACAATTAGTTTTTGGGAAAAAAAGTTTACAATTAGTTTTATTCTGTCTGCACATACAGACATCATACCCCTCCAAAAAATAAATAAAAATTAAAAAAATAATAAAAGTCCAAATGGATTTGGAAATGGTCAAAATAGACATTTCTGTTGAAATATGACATCCGATATTTTTCGCAATTACAATACTTCCTTTACTTTGTACAAGGAAGTAATAAGTGGTTTGGTTTATTTGATTAAGGCAAAGCACGCGAGAACTATCTGCTTAAATTAAGGTTTTTTTTTTAATTAAAGTTTAACCCATTATTAAGAAATGACATGGTTTCAAAACTAAATTAATTAAATTTTACATGTATCTGTATTCTGAAGAACAAATACTTGTATTGAAAATAGAATATGTTTGAAAATGAAAATTTCTTATTAAGTAATTTTTATACTCTATCATTGTGCTAGCTGACATGATTTATTCCTTCATAATATTATGATCCAAGAAAGAATAATTAAAAATTTCAATGTTTTTCATGGCACTAATAATGAATTAAAAAGATTTGATATAATATTAATAATGAGGAAATGAAAAAAAAAAGTTGCTAATGGCAATTAAAAAGAAATCTAAGAACTAGTTTAGCCTTATCTTTTCATTAGCACTTCTTTTGTTTCAGTAAAAACACGATTTTAATGAGAAAAATGTTTTAAACATAAAAATACAATTAATGTACATGCTACCTTAACAACAGCAATAATAACAATAAACATTTATGTTTATTATTTCCCTCACAATAGTAAAGATAAGATGAACATTAAATAAGTTACAGTGTTACTTTTTAAAGCATTTACAGAGAAAAAATTCTACAGTTGCTATTTCTTTTATTGCTGTATAAAGCCAATATATAATTATTACTGAAAAATACATTTCACAATATTTTTTTTTTAATGTCTTACCTAAAACTTGAACGTTTTGGCACATGAGCATCCAAATACAATGCAAGGATGCCAACTAATTGAGCAGTATATGCTAAAGCAGCACTAATGCCATATGCTGCATCAAACTGATGCCTATCACTCCTTGATAGACTGTTTCTAGAAATTCCTTGAATGCGAGACGAACCTATAGAGAGAGTATCAAAATTACAGGTTATAAAACACTTTTACAACAGCTTTCACTAAAAGAAAAAATAATGCACAAGATTTTAGCAATTCAACAATGATAGTTTTCCATTAAAATTTTCCCTATAAAATTATCAATGTTTTGAAAATAATACTTAATTTTTCTAGAATTTTTTACTTGTTTCTTCCAACTTTAAACTATAATTAAACAACATGAAAAGTCTAATTATACTTTAAAAAAAAATCACTACTGTACATTAATTAAAGAGTTTGCTAACATAGTTATATTTTGAAATTGGAAAAATTTAACCTTCATATGATTGTTTTACAGAAAACCTATATTTACATTCATTATCTAATATCTGCTAGGGGGGAAAAAATACTACCTTTGTGATTTGGCATAGATAGGTTAATTTAGAAAAATCAAATATTTAATACAGCTCATAATATATGCTAATGCTAGAACTACATAGGTATATGAAATTCTTAATTTAGAAATATAAATGTGACTGTTAGTTGGTTTGTAAATTAAAAGGGAGCCTGTCACATTATTTACATGTTAATTGAATCATAAACTGAATTTTACACACAAACACAACCAAAAAAAAGCTTTCAACAATTTCAGGGAAATTTTTTTTCATTTAAGTTTTCAGCACTTGATCACTCAAATTTTGATCGTTATTCATAGCAAATACATACAATACTAATAAACATACTGAAACAAAGGATTTTGTAAGCTCTATGAAGTAGTCTACAGACCAGCATTTCCCAAAGTATGGGTCGCAGAAAAATTCAGTTGGGTCGTGGCAAAAATTGTAAAAACACAAAAAATCTATAATATTTTGCTCTAAATTTAATATTTTTCGAAACTTTTCAAGTACTGCAGGTGGCAACCCTTTACAACCGCTTCCTACCGGACCATTTAAATTCAGATGCTCTGATTGGCTGACTTCGATTTGTCATTCCGTGCCTTCTCTGGTACATGCGGCGTAAACTCATGTGTAACAAAACAAGGTTATGTTTGAATTTTTGTTGCCTATTTTATTTGACAATAGTTATTATTACCTATTATTAATAGCAACTCATATTTGTAAGTAATAAAAATACTTTTTCTTATAAATCATTAATAAACTAATTCTTTTTATTAAAGCTTTCAACCTTTTTTTAAAATGGATAAATGATTAATCAAGAAAACCATAGATTTAAATGATGATGATCAACCAAGCACAAGCAAAGCTGAACATCATGATCATGAAGAAACTGTGCCTTAAGCACCTAAAGCAGATATACAGCGCCAAAATAACACGTGTAAAGCTTGTTATTTTGAACTACTTGGACTTGCAACTATTACTACTATTTGGACTCGCAATTATTGTGACAAATATTTACGCTTTGGGTTCATTGCTGGCGGCAGTCAAAATAATTTGCCGCTATGTGTTATTTGCAATGAGCAACTTTCAAATGAAAATATGAAATCGTGAAAGTTGAAACAGCATTTAAACACACTCCATTCTGAGTACCAATTAACATTTTTACTGATAAGAAAAATAAACCGATTGCCGCTTCCCCCCCCCAAAAAAAACTCTTACCTCACCAGTCAAATAAAAACCTCACTTTGACATCTTTTGAAATTTTTAAATTAATAGCTGAAACTGCGTATCCTTATAGTGCTGGAGAAAAATTAATACTTCCCGCTTTGTCGCAAATAATTTATACAGAATAAAGGGAAAATGTTTATTTTCGGCGATACCATAATCAAATAATACAGTTAAATGGAGAATTGATGATTGCGTGAAACATTTAGAAGAAGAACTGATTGCTCAAGTAAAAAGAGCAAGTTTTTTTCCCTTGCAAATAGATGAAAGCAGCACAGACATCGAGGATAATGCAATCTAATGTGTTTTATCAGATATATTGATGAAGACACTATACAAGAAAATTTTTTGTTTTGTAAAAGGCTACTCACTAGAACGACCTCAGATGAAATTTTTAAGGCTACCAATGATTTTTTCACTAGTCATGGTATTGATTGGATGAAGTGTGTTAGGCTAAGTAGCGACAGAGCATATGCAATGGCAGGCTGTCATAAAGGTTTGTTTTTACAAATTCAAGAATTAGCAATTAATTGTGTATGGGTGCACTGTAGTATCCATAAACAAGCATTGGCGGTAAAATGAATGCCTTGACTTTGGAAGAATGTGTCCAGTTTGCAAACTACATAAAGTCTCGTCCATTAAATAGCAGACTTTCTATCGAATTATGCAAGGAAATGGGGAGTGATCATTAATACCTCCTTTTGTATTGTAATTCACAATGGCTTTCAAAAGGAAAGGTTTTAAAACGTTTGTTTGAGCTAAAAGACGAAGCCTTGGTATTTCTGAATGAACAACCACCATTTAAAAAAGATGCTATTTTTCCATTTAAGGATAGACTCCATGATTTCGAGTGGCTAATAAAAGTAGCTTATTTGTGCGACATATTTGCTACATTCAATGAATTGAATTTAAACTTCCAAGGCCTTTGTTTAAATACTATCAAAGTATCGGAAAAAGTCGCTGCAATAATTAAAAAAATGACTTTCAAAAGGAAATTTTAAATCTTTTGAAACATTACATAAATTTATTAAAACCATTTTAAACTACGATGAGAAGATTTACATCTTGAAACACTATCAGTTTCAATTCAAGAACATCTTTCGAAGCTAATAAATAGTTTTAAAAACTACTTTCCAGATATTCCTTCAAATAATATGTGGATTAAAGATTCTTTTTCTGTCGATATTGAAAAGGAAGAGATGCTTAATTTTAGTGAACAAGAAGTTGATAATTTAACTGAAATTCATTCGAGACCGATCTTAAAAAAGGTGTTTGAAACTGTAGCACTAATTAATTTTTGGTCCAGCTATCAAAAGGAATATCCAAGCGTAAGCGAAAAAGTGATACAATTTTTAATGCCTTTTTTCACCACTTATACATGTAAAACTGTGTTCTCAGCCTTCGTGTACTTAAAAAATAAGTATCGAAACAGATTGGATATCGAACCTTATTTGAGAATAAAATTAACATCATTAAGTCCTAATTTGAAATTACTATGTGATGAAAAACAACATCATCCTTCGCACTAAGGTCAAAATATGTAAAATAAAATTTACTTTATTTACTTTAAGTTTTAAATTAAGATAATGGATTGTCTTTAATTATGTTTTTGTTATATAATTATTTTGCAATTTTTGTGTATAAAATAAACAAACAAATAACTTGAATTTTGATTTTTATTAAAAAATAAAATTTGTTTTGTAAATTTTTTTTTTCTAAGGTGGATCATGAAAAAATTTTTAATCTCGTACTGGGCCACGGTCAAAATAGTTTGGGAAACGCTGCTATAGACAATAAATACCATGCCTTCTAAAGAACAAATGAAACTATGCATAGGTGGTGAGTTTCTTCTTTGAAATGAACATTGTATGGCAGCAGTCTCAAACTGGCAGCTCGTGGGCTGCAACATTCAAATTACTTATTTGTTACAAAAACAGTATTGCAAGGATTGCAAGACTTTAGTTATTTGAAGAACGAGTTTAAATTTGTTTTATTTCTATTAAAAACGACTATGAATAATGCACCAGAAAATCTATAAGTGGACCTAATTAATTTACACTGTGATCCAAATCTGATCCAAAGATTTGAAGGTACAGATTTTATTACCTTTTATTTGCACTTGTCAAAAAATAAATATGTTCAGTTGCACATTTTTGCACTGTCAGTAACTGCTTTATTTAGGAATACATTTATATGTTGTAGGGTTTATGTTTATTTTAACTAACATTTATTTTAAGTTTAAACTATCTTTCCTGTCAAGCCTTACTTTCCCCTGGAACTGCCAATGCCAGAGTATGTAAATTTTTAGTAGAACGCGCAAGGATTCAAATTATCAGCAGAAGTATTCTGAGTTAAATAGAAAGGAAAACGAGTTCGAAGTGCACTTTTCTTACTTCACGAGCACGGAGGTAGTTAGTCAGAAATTGAAGAACCACGCATTTCGGCCTGTGTGCTTGCCTTGGCAATTTGTTAATCTTTCAACGTAATATTCAGAGTTTGCTGAAGTATCAGCGGTATTGTAAAATGCGGTGAGGTTAGTTACGTTTAGAGAGCCGCGTAGTTAGTGACTTGTTAGTATCTCTTTTTAGTTTCTTATTTTTATTTTAACCGCCGGGTCGGCGTAGTTTGTGAGCGTCAAGAGCACGCATTTGTAATTTCTAAAGTTGAATAAAAAGGGACTTAAACCCTTCCCAAGACTCTGTCTAATTTCCAGTTTCAGCAGTCACCACTTTGTTGCCTGCAGGTTGGAGGCGCGCAACTGTACATTGGCGCCCGAAACACTTGTCGAACTGAAATGGCCGAAAATCGGATGAAAGCCGTGGACAACAACAAGAAATGGCAAGCCAATGGGAAGGATTTGGATACCTGGTCCACGTTGAGAGCGTCAATCAAGCCAAACGTCAATTTCGACGGAAAAAATTCGGTGGCAATATTTCTAGAAAGCCTAGACAATCACTTTCAGCTCTAGCCTGTGCCTGAAAGACAAAAAGTTGTCATCACCACATCTGCACTAAGAGGACAGGCCGTGCTATGGTGGAAAAATATAGGCAAATTTTTATTAGGGGAATTCGGAAGCCAGACATATACATTTGAAAATTTCAAAAAATTGTTATTAAAGGCCTTCCCCATAGTGAAAGATCGACCAAGGCTAGAAGCCGAACTATATAGTTTCTATCAATGGCATATAGAAGAGTTGACAGGACTTTATTCTGCGAAAAATTAAGCTGACGGATATGCTGTATGGGAAGAAACCCGACCAGAGAGTATTGAAATAATCTTACCAAGATTACTACCTGCTGTCAAGATACTTTGAAATTAGAAACCCAAGCACATTGCAGAAGCTCTTCGAATTGGTGGTCAAGTTCAAAATCAGCAGAATAGCAAAAAAGCTGGAGGGTCATCATAC